CTCTGGAGAGGAGGAGAAGAGAGCGAACAATGAGAGATATAAGGTAGCTAGGAAGGAGGCGAATATGGCAGTAATGGAGGCTAAGACGATAACTTTTGCTCGTTTGTATGAGGAACTAGGGAACAAAGGAGGGGAGAAGAAGTTATTCCGACTCGCTAAGGTGAGAGAGAAGACGACTCGGGATCTGGACCAAGTGAGGTGCATAAAAAATGATGACGACAAAGTTTTAATGGGGGATGACCAGATTAAGAGGAGATGTCAGACCTACTTTCATCTTCTAAATGAAGAAGGGGATCAGGATATTATGCTAGGTGAATTGAGGAATGCCAACAGCCCCCATGAATTAAGTTATTGTAGGGACATTGAGATCGATCAGGTCATGGAGGCAATGCGTACGATGAGGAGGGGCAGAACTACCGGGCCAGACGAAATTCCGGTTGAACTTTGGAGGTGTGTGGGTAGAGCAGGCTTTGAATGGCTTACTGGGTTGTTTAATGTTATACTCAAAACTAATAAGATACCTGAAGAGTGGAGGTGGAGTACAATGGTTCCGCTGTATAAGAATAAAGGCGATGTTCAGAGCTGTAACAACTATAGTGGTATTAAATTACTGAGTCATACCATCAAAATCTTTGAGAGAGTGGTAGAAATGAGAGTGCGAAGGACGGTGTCTATTTTAGATAACTAGTTCGGGTTCATGCCGGGGCGATCTACCACAGAAGCTATCCACCTTATTAGGAGGATGATGGAACAATATAGGGATAAGAAGAAGGATCTCCACATGGTGTTTATCGATCTAGAGAAAGCGTACGACAGGGTTCCTAGGGAGGTCCTATGGAGATGCCTAGAGGTTAAAGGGGTCCCGGTTGACTACATTAGGGTGATTAAAGACATGTATGATGGAGCTAAGACTCGGGTTAGGAGAGTAGGAGGCGACTCCGACCATTTTCCGGTTGTTACGGGGTTGCACCAAGGGTCTGCGTTCAGCCCTTTCCTATTTGCCCTGGTGATGGATGCCATAACGCATCATATTCAAGGGGAGGTGCCATGGTGCATGCTATTCGCTGATGACATATTCCTAATTGACGAAACACGACGCGGCGTCAACGAGAGGATAGAGGTTTGGAGACATGCCCTTGAGTCTAAAGGTTTCAAGCTGAGCAGGACGAATACAGAATACCTCGAGTGCAAATTTGGGGCCGAGCCGACGGAAGCAGGAGTGGAAGTGAGGCTCGACTCTCAAGTTATCCCTAAGAGGGGTAGTTTCAAGTACCTTGGGTCAGTTATTCAGGGGACTGGGGAGATCGACGAGGATGTCACACATTGTATAGGGGTGGGATGGATGAAGTGGAGGTTAGCAACGTGAGTCTTGTGTGACAAGAAAGTACCACCGTTACTAAAAGGTAAGTTTTATAGAGTAGTGGTTAGGCCTGCTATATTGTATGGGACCGAGTGTTGGCCGGTTAAAAATTCACACATCCAGAAGATGAAAGTAGCAGAGATGAAGATGCTGAGGTAGATGTGTGGGCATACAAGGATGGACAAGATTAGGAATGAAGATATTCGAGAGAAGGTGGGTGTGGCCCCCATAGAGGACAAGATGCGAGAAGCAAGATTCAGATGGTTCGGGCACATTCAGAGGAGGAGCACTGATGCACTAGTGAAGAGGTGTGAGCGACTGGCTGTGGTGGGTATGAGGAGAGGTAGAGGGAGACCTAAGAAGTATTGGGGGGAGGTGATCAGGCAGGACATGGCACGACTTAGGATTTCTGAGGACATGGCCCTTGATAGGGAATTGTGGAGGTCGAGCATTAAGGTTGTAGGTTAGAGGGTAGTTTGTGAATATTACTACAGCGCACTAGAGTGAGACTAGTCATTTAGGAGTTAGTCTTAGGATGTTACTGATCAGCTACTGATGTAGGGTTGTATCTGTTGGATATTAGTATACCTTACATCCTTTTCTCCATCCTTTTCGTATTTCCTATATTTTGTATATTGTTGTTATTTTTTATTTTATGTTATTTATTATGAGTCTATTGATAGTACTAATATATTGTCTCTTGTTGCTCTCTTGAGCCGAGGGTCTCCTGGAAACAACCTCTCTGCCCCTCGGGGTAGGGGTAAGGTTTGCGTACATATTACCCTCCCCAGACCCCACTTGTGGAATTATACTGGGATGTTGTTGTTGTTGTAACTTGTACCCACTTTTTAAATAACTTCAGCCCTCTTTCTCCTTCTCCTTCTCCTCCTTCGTTTTCTTCTTTTTCTTCTTTCTTCTGCTGCTATTGGTCCTGCTATGAAACTTCAGTTATTAAAATTTTGTGTAGACATATCTGGTTCAATAATAAGATGAAAATTTTCTTACACTACTATATTCCAGTCAAGAAACACGAATGGATCTGCAAGTGGTCATTGTTTGGCACCATGTCCTTTTTCACCCTTAACTTCAGGCTGAAGTGAAAGCAATTCATCACAAATTTAGCATATTTCCGATGACAAGGAAATACCAAGTTACTTGTATAGTTGTATGCAATAAGAAATAAAATGTCCATTGCTTATATAGTGCTGAAGTTTTTACAAATGAACTAAATAACTTCAGCTCTAGAGCTGAAGTTCGCCAGTTACAAAACAAAAACTTCAGCTCTAGAACTGAAGTTTGCCAGTTACAAAAACAAAAACTTCAGCTCTAGAGCTGAAGTTCGCCAGTTACAAAACAAAAACTTAAAACAAAAGCTCCAGCTCTAGAGCTGAAGTTTGTTAGTTACAAAATAAAAACTTCAACTCTACAGCTGAAGTTCGTCAGTTAAAAAACAAAAACTTCAGCTCTAGAGCTAAAATTCGCCAGTTACAAAACAAAACATCAGCTCTAGAGCTGAAGTTTGTCACACCTCCTTTTTTACCTACACCCGCAAGAGCGTAAAAGAGTTTTTCCACTTAAAGGATAATCAGAACGGGATTTATTATTATTTGTTCAGAGTCGCCACTTGGGATATTAATGGTGTCCCAAGTCATCGGTTGAATCCCGAACCGAGGAACATATGACTCTGTTAACAGTTCGCAAACCAAAAATCCGAGTAAGGAATTCTGTTAACCCGGGAGAAGGTGTTAGGCATTCCTGGGTTCTGTGGTCCTAGCACGGTCGCTCAACTGTCGTGTTTAGCTTTTTATCTGATTTTAATACATGTTGAACTTATATGCCAATTTTAAAGATCATTTACTGCTTTAATTAAAAAATTTAAGAAAGTGAACGTCGTTTAACAAACGTGTTTTCGGATCACGTCACATGAAATGCACCCGGATCCTTGACAGATTTTTATATAACGTTTTAGGATTTGGATTTGGGTCGCATGAAATGCACACCCGAATTTAAGAATGTAATTTTATTAAAATCGCGCCTAAAGAGTCTAACGCGTTATTATCTTTGGGGAAGGCCTTGAAATTCGCTAAATGGCTCGTCCCTAAATCTAAGTATTTTAAAACAAATATTTATTGAAGGCCCCGCAATTTTGCATTTTTATTCGGCGAGGCTCATCTCATTTTTATTTAAAGGCCAATCCTAAAGAGACTATGATTTTCTACCTTTATTGTCTCTACAGATAAAAGAAAGGTCCTAATTAATTTGTTGTTGGACTAAGGCAAACCACATAATAAATCTGCACCAAAGCCATCGGGCTCTAAGACAAGCCCAACGAAGAGAGTGTTACGCTCATGCCCACGCCAATGATGGGCTATGCGCTGATTTCAGCCTGGACCCAAATATACACGGCCATCAGAGATGGGCCTGGGCTGCTCATTCAAGGACTGAAAACTATATTGGGTCAAAAGCCCAGACGCAACAATTCGAATTGAGCAATTACTCCTGGGTTGTCTCAAGTTTATTCACTTAATTCAAGCTAGTATTGATTGTTTTGATTGTAGCTTCATACTCAGGCATGCAAATAACTGAAGGTATTTATTTGAAGGTGTTGATCAAATAAAGGGAGGTTATTAACTAAAGCAAACTACTAAACTCAGTGAACCAATTCCATGAATCTGAATACTCACAAATCCTAACGTTAATTCAACGATAACAATTCAAATACACATATTAACTAAGTCCAGAACACTTATTCTTATGTATATGTTAAAACGGTGAACAGCCATATTACTGACCTAGTCCAGTTAAACTATTATCACATCTGAGCTGACCTCAACATTAAATCATGACTGGGCTCAAATCAATTTTCAGTTTGTAGTTAAACTTCTACTTTGAATTCAGTAGCTTTAATTAACATTCAATAATATCAACTAGAAGTTTAAATCAGATCCAATTATCACCTAATGACTACAAAATTCGCATCAGAAGACCTTGAATCAGCTAACAGTCCATGAATAAAAATAAATCCAAAGTTTATGTACAACAAATCACTACTCAACTATGCTTAACAATTCTAACATCCATTTAAATCCAACAGCCAGCAACAGTTCTCAGAACCAAGTAAGTGTGCAATTTATTCCATGTTCAAGCTCATAATTACATCAGAATTTTGAATGTGTACCTGGATATGAAATGTAAGAAGAAGAAGAGAATATCAGCAGCAGTTTTTACAGCAAACCACAACAACAAAATCAGTATTCAATTAGCCCAGGAATCAGTTAGAGATGATTAAAACCAATAGTGAACCAAATACACTTGCAAAACTCAAGTAGACCCAGCACCAATCCCGGAACTAACTTGTTAATTTTTCATTAGAACAATACTTCCTGATTATTTTTGGTTTTTCTAGAGGTTTTCTATCTTTTTTTGGGGGTTTTGAATGCTTAAATTTCAAAATTAGATCTGAGATTAGGGAGAGTTTTGGGGGAATTTTTTTTGGTTGCCACCTCTTTGTTAAGGCAAAGAGGCATGCCTTTTATAGACAAAGATGAGGGCAGCCCCTTAATTTCTGTTTATAATTCAGTCCCTTATTTATTTTCAGATTAGTCCTTTAGTCATTGACTTGTTCCTCAAGTAAGTGCAATTACTTTCTGAATTCTCACCCTAAAACCCCTTCGAGAATGCTCTAGGAATTTCAAGTAACAACTACAAGATTCTTTACCCTATCATTCCTAAACTACCCTTGCAATGCCCTGTTAT